AGTTTCTGGAGTAAAATTTCTAACACTAAATTTTGAGATTTTTTATTTTTTTGGTTACTAATAGTGTTGTCTGCTTTTCTTTCTAATAGGAAGATTCGATTGGGGTTGAAGTGAACAGTCCTGCGACTGTCGAGCCCTCGCAAAAGGAAGGAGAAGACAATGCAGAAAATGTTGGTGCTATTAAAAGGTCACTTTTGGATGAGTTTTCATCATCCAAAAGTAGGAAGAAGTTGAATGACTCAGAAATCAAAAGGAAAAGATGTAATTGAGATTGATGGTTGAAAGAGATTGTTGATAGCCGGACACTATCCAGACATTTTTTTTTTGTTTTTCCTAATACTGTGGTGTGACAATTTTTTATTTTCAGTTTTATGGATGGTTTATAACTTTTATCTAATGCTTTTAGTAATTTCCTAACTGTTTAGTACAATAAATTGGTGTATGTACTGCTATTCGAACCTGTTTTGGAGTTTTTCTATTTTTCCTTTTCAGGTTTTTCAGAAAAAGGATGAAAGGTGTCCAAGTTGCAGCAAAGATGTTAGGGTTTAGGGTTTTAGAAGGCAAACAGGATGGAAATACTTTGGTAAGCAATTTAGAGTTTGAAGTTGTGTTTTTCATATGTTCCTATTGCCAACTCTAAGACTTTATATCTAAATATGTTTGTGCCTGTTTTGCAGCAAACATGCTAGGTGGCCAAGTTTTTAGAAGGCAAACAGGATTGAAATAGTTTGGCAAGCAAAGTCGGTTTTAGGGGTCCACAGGATGTAAATAGTTTGCCAAGCAATTTAGACTTTGAAGTTGTGTTCTTTGTATGTTCCTATTCCCAATTCTAAGACTTTATATCTAAAATATAAAGTGCGTATAAAATAGATTTTGTTTCAATTACCTATTTGCACAATCAGCTTGACTGTGTATGCAATTCTAAAACTTTACATGTAAATGTACTGTTCTTAAAAAAAGGTGTTAGTTGCAATTACCTATTTGCACAATCTTCCTTTACTCCGTTTGCAGCTATCCAAACAACTGCTCTTCAAGCTGGAATCCATCAATGTGTTCTAGCACATTTAAATAGATATCAGATAAAAGCAACTAAAAGAAGAATTTTGTCAAGTCATTTAGGTCATGTAAAAAAGGGTGTTAGTTCCAATTACCTATTTGCACAATCTTCCTTTACTCTGTTTGCATCTATCCAAACAACTGATGTTCAAGCTGGAATCCATCAATGTTTTCTACCACATTTAGAAAGAAATCAGATAAAAGCAACTAAAAGAAGAATTTTGTAAGTCATTTACATTACTGTTTTATGTAGATATAAAACAAACATTCTACTTTAAACGGAAAAATGTTTTTATCCTACACAAATCTGACTTTTATAGTAATATAAAATCCAATAATTTAAAAAAGCCCAGATGTCAAATACAATAGAAATACAAATTGATTAACACTGTCAATACTTGAGGACCATTTGTGACACAAAGACATTTTTCAACGTGTCTATTATTAATAAAATAAATTTGTTTCTGCCAATAAAAAACAATTAAAATAATCTCCTTATACATAGAAGAACATTATACCAGTTTTAAGCAAATAGTAAAAAAAAAAAAAAGGAATTTATATTACTTTTGACAAAAAAAAATGAGAATCTGCTTTTAAAAAAAATCACTTATAGATGAACCAAGTCTAAAATACTGCATCAAAAACAAGATGTCAAAGACAATACAATTATTAATAAAATAAAGGAATTTGGTCGATAGTCGAGCACCATTTCCCGAACAAGGACATTTTACTGAATGTGTCTAATATTTACAAAATAAAGTTAGTGCTTGCAATATAACACAGTGAAAGAATATTATGATATATACAGAATAGTTATACCAGTTTTGACCAAAGAGAAAAAAAAAAAGCTATTACCATTACTTTGCTAACATTACTCAATTCTATACTTATATAGAACCAAACAATGCACCCAAATTAAAGGCCAGTGATGGAACAATATTGCCTTACAAATTAAAGTGAACAAACTTACAAACTATGCAAGTATATCCATACAAACTAATCTAACTACAGCCAAGTAGAGAGGAAGTCTTAACCTATTTCGTTGTATGACCCTATTGCTTTTAGTGGTCTTTGATTGATTGTTTTTTTTATGACAGCTGCTCTTCAATTTCTTCAAAGCTTGATGATTTCATTCTAATAAGAATAACAACAAAAAATATTGTTAGAATTTGTGTTCAGGATATTTAATAAGAGGAAAAGCATACACTCGCATAAAGTGAACAAAGTTACAAACTATGAAGTATATGCATACAAACTAATCTAAAGACAGCCAATAAAGATAAAGTGTTAACCTATTTGCTTATATGACCATAATGCTTTTTAGTGGTCTTTGATTGCTTTTTTCTTTTCTGGGACCCATTCTTCAATGTCTCCATAGCTTGGATTATTCCATTCTTAAAAAAATACCCAAAAAAATTAAAATGGTTAGAATGTGTTCATAATAATCATTAAGTACAATCAAATAATCCATGTATGTGTTCAATGTTCTTAGAACAGTCTTACAAACTGTGCAACTATAACAGTTGCAAAGTCATCTAATGTAACACCAATCAAGATATAGTCTTAACTTATTTTATGATGTGGCCGTGGTGATTATTTTCTGCTTGCTGCTCTTCAATTGCTCTAAAAAGAATAAAAAAAAAAGTTAGACTTTCTGTCAAGAATAAATATACCAACACATACATTGAATAAATTGTCCGGCACATTTAGAAAGAAATTACATAACAGCATTACAATTCAAGATTGGTAAATTAAATAACATTAGTGTGTTAACTAAAAAAAAAGAAAATATACTTTTATTTGAAGAATAATGTCAGCCACTGCCATAAGAGAAAAATGAATAGTTCTAGAACCAGTGAGTAATTGGGTGTGTGTTCCATGTTCTTACAAATCAGCTAAAGAAATTGGATCAGTGGGAAATATTGGCCTGTTAAGTATTACTTAATCATTCTTAGGAAAAGAAACACATTTTCTAAACATTAAATACAATTGATGGGCTGCTATCATTACTATTAAGAGAAAACTCTTCAGTTCCAATCCTATTTTCAAAATCCAGGCAAAAGTAAAATAAAGTACAATGAAGCCATATGATCAGCTTTGCCCCATCTAACTACCAACACAGTTCTCCAGTTTCAGACCAAAGGTAAAGACACAAATCACATCTACATTTTCAAGTAAACACAATAGACAGAGCAATGAGCAAAATCACTAAATCAACAATTTTAGGCATCAAAAGGAAACCAAGTGATGAAAATAAAGGTAACTTCGAAACTTATCTTTTTCAGACTTCGAATTAAGCTTCATTGTAGCATCCTCTTCATCTGCGGTTCTGTTTATGCTCTCTATCTCCTCAAAAAATTCCAGTATGTTCATAAAAAACAACATGATAAAGTCGAAAACAGGTTAGGGTTTGTGTGAATAATAATATAGCTATACCATTTTGAAAATAACTGTTAAACAGTTAAGAGTACTTTCTCTTTGGTGTTTTTAGAGCAACATTACAAAAAATACGATTTAGAACCCTAATGGCTATGAAGAGGACAAATCTGAAATCAAAAAAATTCAGCTATGATTGTTGATATGCATGCATAGATCAAGAAACGTAGATCAAATTTAGAACAAACAACAACGAAAAGTAGGAAACCTAAACAAATTTAGTGTAGATTGACAAATTAATAATCTTAGAATTGGAGAATTACCTTCACTGAAACGCGATTGCCACGATTTACCGTTGTTGAACACTAAGATCTTTCACAGAAAGGAAAGATCGAGATTGTGTACTGCTAATCGGATCGATGCTAAGCGAGACCCGACTCCAATTTCGCCGGGAAAAATGTTCAATAAGAACAGTTGAATCGGAGATTAGGACTTAGGACTGATCTAGATTTAGGCTTGACAGAGAAAGATAGTAAGCTCGTAGGGATAGGTGAAGAACAGATCTCTGATTCAGACATGAGAGCAAGGAGAGCTCAAGAGAAGGAAAAGGGTAGGACCCTTCTTCCTCTTCTCTCGAAATTCCGACAGAATAAACAATAATATTGGATATATTATTGTATATATATATATATATATATATATATATATATATATATATATATATATATATATGCGGAAAATTATATATATACCGAAAATAATATATTTAAAGAGTTTAAAGATATAAAATAATAAATAAATATATAGATATGTATATAGTTGTTTATTTATTTATTTAATTTTTAATTGTTATGTGTAATTAATTAGATATATAATCTTAACAATTGTAATGGTATTTATTGTGGACAATGTTATACTTAAGATTTTGTCAAATAAAATTAGTGTTACTATATAGCCATTACCATTTCAGGTTATATATATTTCACAATTAGATTATCCGTAAGGTGTGTTTAGTGGCACACCACTAATTTGTAAATAATTGTGCGGTAAATCTTTAACAATTTGAAATTAAGTATGTACTGTTAGTTGTATTATGTGTAATTCATTTTTATGATTTTTAGTTATTTGGATTATTATTAAATTTAATGTTGTATTTTAATTCGCAGAAAATGAATTGGGCAACTCATTATCAAGGAATAATTCTGATCAAGGAAAACAACAGTCTCCGACAAGAAATCCTGCCCGCATTCCTCTTGGAGGGGGTTTGTCTCAAAACATCACACCCTTGAGTAACGTGACTAACGGTAAATCCACTAAGTTCAATTGATATAGCATCGTTGTGAATTTATAAAACCTTTTTATAAGTCTACTTATTATGTAAGTCTTATTTAAAACAATTACAATTTACAATCATAAGCTAGCGTAATGAATAGCATTATGTGTGATTAATTTAAAAAATGTTAACTGTTCTACTTACTGTTGTTTTTATCCTCTTTTAATTTTTTTTTTTCATACAGCAAATAGTTTTTTCAAATCATCATTAATGAATAATGCTGGTCAAGGTAAGGAGCAACATACGCCAAATCATCCTGCCAAAAATCCTTTGGGATGTTGTTTCTCTCCAGATATCACACCATTCAGTACCATCAGTAATGGTAAATCCCAATATATGAATTGATATACATTCATTGTTAATTTAAATATCCTTATATTATTAATTGTTCGAAGCTGTTTGTAAAATTAAATAGTATAATTATAATGTAATTCATGTTTAATATCAATTTGTAATTAATTGATTAGGTGTAATTAATTGATTACATTTTACTTAATCATATATAGTTTTACATTGCTATTGTATTTAAGTTAGAATGTGGATCATTGTGTACATAATTCTATTCGTTTACGTATTAAAGTTGTGCAATTGATTTTTTTTTTTTTTTATGATGTGTATTGAATTGTTTCGAGTTATAATTATTGGAATTAATTCTTAAGTTAATGGTATATTTTAAATCACATCAAATCATTTCGGTTACTCATCTTTTATGAATAATGCTGCTCAAGATCAAGACCAACGTACGACAGCTAATCCTTACACAATTCCCCACCGAGGATGTTTCTCTGAATATATCACACCATCGAGTAACATCACTACCGGTAAATGGCCGGTGTTGAATTGCTATACAATCATTGTGAATTTAATTATAATGTAACTCATGGTACATATAAGTATGTGAGGAATTGTAATCTCACTATTTTTTGCCTTATATATGATTTATTTTTTAAAAATAAATTTTTAATTTTTTGTTGAAATAGTTAAATTTGTTTTGATATGTGTAATTAATTAAATAGATTTTAGTTAGTGAGTTACACTCTTTTCTCTTTTATTTCTATTTATTTACAGTGCACATATTATTGTGGACCATGGTCTACCATGTGATTTTTCCACTAAAATATAATAATGTTTTTACAGTTACATTACTATTTCATATTCTAGGTTAGCATAAACTATAATGTTACATGTATTTAATTTATAATAGTAAGAATTCTATCCTTTTTATATATTCATTGTTAATTTAAATATCGTTATACTGTTATTTGTTCGAAGCTTTTTGTAAAATTAAATGGTATAATTATAATGTAATTCATGTTTAATATCAATTTGTAATTAATTGATTAGATGTAATTAATTGATTACATTGTACTTAGTCATATATAGTTTTTGTCGTGCTTGAATTGTATTTAAGTTAGAATGTGGACCATCGTCTACATAATTATATTCAATTACGTATTAAAGTTGTGCAAGTGATTTTTTATTTGGTTATGTGTACTGAATTGTTTCGAGTTATAATTATTGGAATTAGTTCTTAATTTGATGGTATATTTTAAATCACAACAAATCATTTCGGTGGCTCATCTTGTACGAATAATACTGCTCAAGATCAAGACCAACGTACGACAGCTAATCCTTACACAAATCCCCAGCGAGGATGTTTCTCTGAATATATCACACCATTGAGTAACATCACTACCGGTAAATGCACTAATCTGAATTGCTATAGACTCACTGTGAATTTAATTATAATGTAACTCATGGTACATATAAGTATGTGTGGATTTTTGGGTGATATATGATTTATTTTGGAATCTCAATTTCTAATTTTTTGTTAAAATAATTTCATTTGTTTTGATATGTGTAATTAATTCCATAGATTCTACTTAGTGAAATACACTTTTTTCTCTTTTATTTCTATTAATGTTGAACATATTATTGTGGACCATGGTCTACCATGTGATTTTTCCACTAAAATATAATAATACTTATACAGTTAAATTACTATTTCATATTCTAGGTTACCATAAGTTATAATGTTAGGTGTATTTAATTTATATTATTAAGAATTCTTTCCTTTTTATGTTACTACGTGCTACCAAATTATTTTTTTTACAGTACCATAAAATGTAGTGATTTCAATTTTTGGTCACTTTAAATATTGTTATTCTTTAAATTGGTCTAATATTATGTATGTGTACAGTACGGCAATCCAATACACAAATAGGAGATGAATTTGCAATTCGTAAACCATTAGATAAATATGCAATTGTCGAAGACCAGGTAACAACCAGAGACTTGCTACCTGCCTTTGAAGATGAAAGTAACAATGCGGTGAGCGATGTCTCAAATCAGAACATAGCTGGTACTAAAATACTACCCTCTGGTGTTTCAAACAAATATAAGTAA